TATATATATATATAAGCTGTAACTGCAGTAACGACAGCCATGATTGCTGATGTAAGTTTTGTATTGAAGTTTAAAAATGCAAGATAATTGTTTTCAAAACTGCAACATTTGTTTCAAGTTTCTTTATATCGATCTGATTATTAAAGCCTTCCTCTCTGTGAAAAAGGTATGAGGAGAAAAAAAAACTCCTGGTGTTGCTGCGTTACAGAAACAGGGATCCATTTGAACACTTTTTAAATTCCCTTTTCATCTTTCCAAAGTGAGTACATAATCAAAAAAAATAAAAGGTAAAACTTTACTTTTTAAGCTATAAAAAGATAAAACAGTTCATAAAATATATGCAAACATTGCCTACTTTTTTAATAATTGCAATACAAATAGGTACATTTTTTATAAGAAATTATCTAACAAAACTTTAGATCAAGTTTACAGATTGTTTCAGTCAGGGTTGTGGGGGTTTTATGGTGTGTGTCATTTTTGGTATTTTGGATTCATTTAGCGCCTTGTTTTTCAGAATGTTTTCTGTTTTCCCAGGTTAAATTTTTATGTATTTACATGTCCCAGTAATTGTTAATGATTCTGCCATGAATCATTATCCGTCTGCCTGACTGCACCTCTGGGTCCAACCTCCCCATCCAAACCTCCCCGTTTCTGCATTTTTTGACAAGCCTCCAAATGCTGCATAGAAATCCGTTTGAGGTGCAGTTTTCACACACAGCTGGAGCAGAAACTTGAAACATCGGGCAGCTTGTAACCTTGTTCCAAAGTTTCACTAAAAATGTACCTTTTTGGTCTATGTCAAGCTGAAGTTTAACACACTCACCTGACTACCTCTCAAGACATTCTGAGTTTGCTGAGAAATGAGATCTGAATCTGTATCCTGCTTTTATCTTTCAGCTCAGCTTCAGACAAGATAAAAGACTTTGAAGACTGTTGTAATAAATGTGTGTATCTGGTCAAGCGGCAGACCCGGCGTCTCAATAATCAAGTGCTCTTTTTATTGTAACTTAAACATTTAAGACATCAAACTGTTGGCCATGTTTACACTGCATGACTTTATTCTTTATGAATTAAACATACAGGATGAGTCATACGTATATATATAT